GTTAAAGGCACTTTTTGAGCCCAGTGACCTAAGTTGGATCCATGGGACTCACATGGTATAAGGAGAGAGCTGACTTCTGCAAGTTGTCTTCTGACCTCCACACGTGTGCTGTGACATAGACACCCACTTCTGAATAAATAATAAATAAATAAATGAAAAAATACATCACAAATCCCAGCATAGAACTGGGGAAGTGGGTAAGAAGCCCCAACCTATCCATAACTGCTGGGAGAGGGAGAGTTGGTTTTCTTAAAGGGTTAACCAGGCTCGAGTGGATGGATACACACAAAAGGATATTTGGGGATACAAACTTGACTTAATTAGCCTTAATATATGATAAAGTACATGAAATATGGGGTGGGGACTATAAGAGGGGTGCAGTTAAGGGAGGGTGTTTAAATATGATCAAAATACATTGTATGAGATTTGCAAAAATTTGCTAAATAAAAAAACTATGTCAAGGCTGCATAGACTAAATAAGATCCTGAAAGTCAATATGTTTCTGAATATTATTAACTTACTTTGATAGAGTTATCTTGATTAAACAAAATAAAAGGAACAATTGATAACTAGGCTAGATTATAAATAAAACAATTAGTTTTTTTATCATATTAGTCTAAAAGGACAGTGTTTTCATATGATTTAACCTAATAGATTTTAATGTATTTCAGAATTTGGAGATGGTAGTGTGTCAGAAGTCAACTCTGACTTTGAAATCAAGCCTCCTATAATTTGAATCCCAATCATACAGGCTTTGTGGCAGTTGTCACTGATCTTCCTTCGGTTGGCTCCAATTTCTTCTTATATGGCAATACTTGTTTATTCTTTCTTTTGAAAGAAATGACTAAATGTGATAGTGTATGTAAAGTAGTTATCGTAATACTAGGCACAGAGTAAGCCCTTGATGTTTCATAGTTGCTAGTCCTAGTAAGCAAAGCTGTTACATAGACTGCATTGCTCAAAAGGAAGAGTGCTTCTCGGTGTTCTGAAGCTTGGAGAATGCTGGATTTAATAACAACAAAGATATCATTTGATTCATTGCACACAGTTAGCCATGAAAAATGTTAAAAATCCAAGAATCACTATCATGTTTAATTATCCTGCATTCCTTGTCTCCATGAACTTCTTGAAGGCAGTCATTTCCAGGGTAGGACACCTTAGAAGTTATCGACTTCAGATCTTCAATACTAGAGTTGTTAGAGGAAAGCCTAGTCCCTGTCGGGACACAAGCATCTGTGATCTTCTGATCTCTGAGGCACTTTTCTTTCTCCATAAATCAAAAAGGAAGAAGCCTAAATCAAGGGATAAAAATAACACTAAGATTTCTCATTTTGTTTCCATTTGTGTGCATATGAGCGTTTGATGCCAAAGGTAAAGACTCTTCCACATTTTTTGAGGCGGGTGGGGATCTGGTAAAAGTTTTATAACTCTTAAGACCATGATCTATTTTGAATTAAGTTTTTGTACAAAGTGTGATGATTGTATCATGGTTGACACTTTTGCCTGTGAATTTCTACTTGCTCCAGCATCATTCATTGGAAAGATTTATTTTCCCTTTGTCGAAAATTAAGTGGTCATGTTTATATGACTATAGCTCTGTCATCTTACTAGAATTAGAAAAAAATTCTCACCAAGTAGGTGTTCTTTTCTTCCATCAAAATTTATAATTCTTATCATATAGATTCCATACAGTCTTATTAAATTTACAGCCACAGTCCCATTTTCTTTGGACAAATTATAAATGATTTGTGTTTCTCATTTTTGTTTTCTCCTTTTTTGTTTAATGTATAATAATGTAATTTGCGGTGTGTGTGTGTGTGTGTGTGTGTGTGTGTATTTTAATCTTTCCTCTGTGACCTTGTTAAAGTTACTTTCTAGTTTCAGGAAGATTTTTGTTTTGTATTGTGTCACCAATCCCTTGGAACTTTTTACTCATGTCCCAGGTAGATTTACCTACTTTTTCAAATGTGTAGTTTTTAAACATATTTTTTCTACTTTACTGCAATGACTAAAAAATAATAGTTGTAAAAGTAAATTTGCCAGCCTTGCTCCAAATCTGAAAGTGAAAGCATAAACACCTCAGCCTTTCACCAGCACATGCGTCAGTTCGAAGGGTTTGTTGCCAATTTGTGAGTATTCTTCTGGAGATGGAAGGGACTTTTCTCTATTCCTGCTGTAGTGACATTTTTATAATGAATTGGTTTTGAACCTTGTCAAGTGCTTTTTCCAAGTCAGATGATACAGTTGCACAGCTTGTCTGTTTAGGTTGCTGATGGCAATGATTTTAAGATATCAAATGTCTCTTGCAACCTAGAATAAATCTCACTTGGCTGTATTATCTTTTTCATACAGTTCTGAATGAAATTTGAAAAAATTAAACTGAAGATTTTCTGCTCTGTGACTTTCGTTTTCTAAATGACTTTTGTGTATCTCCTTCATATTTCTTCTATGCATCTTAAGTTTGGAAAATGTCTGAAGCAAGAAGTCTCCCATGTGTAGA